CCAAATTTTGAACTGGTAAAATGATCCCAAGTTCTTGTCACCTCTCCTTAGATCAACAGACTATGGGGATATGCTTCCCCCCCTCTTTGTGCTGTACTTCTGTTCCACTATGACAATATCCATGCTTATGTTATAATTATTTCAAATTACAATAGTGTAGTAATACAGACATTGCAAATTATCACCAATGTAAATTCATATAATACATGGTGATAATGCATACAGTTTATATCATTAAAAGTAGCCCATACTTCAGATTGTTGTGTAAATTTCGACTTTCATTAGAAATTATAATATTAGAAAACCTATTATTTCTTTATAGAATATATGTCATTAGCCTATATTCATGCGATATCTCCTTAATACTTTACTTTTATTTATATGGTTTTCTATTTATTTTTATATAATAAAAGTGGGTTTTTTTTGTTTTGTTTTTTTACTTTTTAGAATTTTCCTTATCCCTACCTGCAGAATTTAATTGTGTTTTACAACCGGAAAAAGGTGTTTCTGCTTGTGAATGCTCATTAAATGAATTCAGTTGAGCTACTTCCTTTCATGTAGTTATTCATCATATCAGCCAAATGCTCTAAATTATAGCTAGTGAGAGTGCTTTAAAAATGATTTGCAAACAGGGAGAATATATGAAAGCCTACAAACACAACTTAGGAATCTTTTAAACTAAAAAGTCACCGTCATTAAAATGTAATCTCCAACTATTATTTTACGCACATTTAATGATTTTTGGAGTTTTTCTGAATGATAAACTGAAAGCACAAAAGTCCACTGAATGAGGATCAGGTATGATTTGTTTTGTAGTTGTCTCAAACACAAAGTCTTTAAACACTACATTCATCCATACAACACTACAGAACCAAACTATGAGCAAGCTTAAGATTCACACAACCACCAAAGTACAAAATAATACTGAAAAGTAGTGATAACCCAAACACAAGTTGCAAGTTTTTCCTGTTGTGCTTTAGGTTGTCAATCAAACTAATGTAATTCTTATCTGATTATCTCTACTGTAAACACTAAATGAATTAGCCCATCTGTCCTATACATTTCAAATATCAAGTATATAATGCTGATTAGCTTAAATACCTTTTTCATCATGACCTGATATAAAGCATACTTGCATTGCGAGTGCATCCTTAATTGTTGCTTTTAATGCATTACTAAAAGTTTATGTGATCTCTTCCATTAACATTTCATGCCAAATGCAATGGCTGTGATTTGTTTTACAAGGTTTTATGAAGTCATCATCCTTTGACATTTCATGGTCTCCCTTAGTCTTGATTAACAGGGACCTTGTCAATGTGCATCTGACCTATAGTGAAATTATTATTATTTTTTTTTTTTGGTAAGGACAATTCGAGTGTTCATGTTCACAATGATGTGGTAAAATTGGGGTTTCACTGACGAGGTGATGAAGGGCTCCCTTTTAAGAGTGTCATTTTCTTTGTGTTATTACTGCTGACCACAAAAGGAGGAATTAGTCAAAAGCTTGTTTTGAAAACCACATTCCCTCTTCAGCATATAATAATCATGCCCGGGGGAAAAGTAAAGTTGATGCAAGTGTTGGTCTGTGACTGCAGAAATATGTAAGCCACACTCAAATTGGTACGTATCTTGGTTTAAATAGGCATTTATGTATTCATTCAATCACTGACTTATTATAATTCCTCTATGTAGGCGTCACACATCATAAAATTACTTAGCAACTTTCATTTTGGCTCGAAGAATTTCTCTGGCAGGACACTTTGCATGTTGCACTTTTTGAGTTTCTATAATTATGCCTTTTGAGAGCAGAATGAATCATTACATTTTACAAGCTCTTGTTTTAAAGGCACATCTGCATATTAAATTGTGATTTACTATTGGATAATCAAAGTGGTTTTTCAAATTAGACCACATGTTGTAATTTCATTGCCCTAATGAACGGTAGTTATCTGTATCGACCAATCTCGTCAGAATGCATTGTTATTTTTTGTGCTTCGAAGTTGTTTTTCCTAATTATATGAGTGACATACTGTCTCAATCCATTTGTGTTAATGCTCATTGGAAATATATTAATATCGTAAAAATAGTACACAAACACTCATAACCCCATTCATCTGTGCAGATATAAATGGATGAAATGTGTTTTCAGTTTAAGTCAGTTACTCTGTTTTCACTGACCTCTAGATCAATTACATTGATGCATAAATAAGCTATCCCTTTGAACTGAGACTCCGGAGATGCAGTTGTTTACAGGAAGCCACCAAATGCATGAATTTTTCAGCAACCAATTCACCTATTTTCATGAATGTGCTATATGTCAAAGCTGGCTGCTGATGGTAAATGCATCACTTTACCACTGACACTTTCTGCAGGCAATAATATTATGGAGGATTAATTAGAAAGTATTTCTTATCACAAAGTAACACTTTATAATAACTTTCATTTATGAACAAACACTATTATATAATGTAACAGGTCTTTTGTTTATGTATAGTCTACATTTATATTTATATATTTTGAAATGTCATAATACTTTGGTTCATATAAGATTCAATTAGGCCTTTATTAATCAAATCAACTTCAAGTCTGTTGTCATATTAATAATGACTTCTAAGGTTCTGTTAATCAGATATTAAATTGTTTTTGTTTTTTATTTTGTCAGAGAGGTTTTAATTATAGTTTGGGAAATAGGACTTTTATTTGATAACATCTGCACAACAGACCATTATTAAATCTAAGTCTATATCTCGTTGCGTCATCTGTTTATTGTGCAGCGCGTTCCCGAAAGATGCAGATGTAAACGAATCATGGCTATAGGCTATTTTGTCGTATGGAAGTGTCAATCCAACACAGTCTCATGAAGATGCGTACCACGAGTGTCATTTCTGGTCAATCCGGTCACAATTGTAATAAGGCTATTTTATCTTTAAAATTGTTACTATTAATGCCGTTATTATTGTGTTCCTGCTGCTTCAGTTAATTTATTTTCTTTATTTCCCCCCTCTCTTCGATGTTGCAATTGACAATAATATCACCATGTTCCTCCGATCTATTTTCACAGCTAAAACTAAGAAATGAACCCGTAGGCTATGGCATTCTGCCCCATATAAAATTGTAGGTGATGTCTTAGTTTTCAGAGGACACAAGTTTCGTAGGCCTATACCAGATTGAGATGCAATAAGAAAGGGCAAAACGAATAGGCTATATCTTAATCTGTTAGGCCTATAAGAAACTTGTGTCTTCCGATCTTTTTTGACAACTAAAACTAAGAGATGAACCTGTATGGCAATCTTCCCCAAAAAATTGTCGTAGGTCATGTCTTAGTTTTCAGAGGACACAAGTTCCTAAGGCCTATAACAGATTGAGATTCGTTTTGCCCTAATTGCTGCCACTGTTAAGTTTTTCTGGTATCTTAGTCTACTATTTTGAATGATTATAGTCCTGCTATATATTTAGGCTATTGCAAGCTTTGGTAATTTCAGAGGGGGAAAAATACCAAGTGATTGTTGCCGATGTCTGAAGATGCACTTTTGCTTTACTCTTGAAAGTCGAATCTAGTTTTTAAAAGGTTGTTTATAGTATTGATTAATGACTATCGGTAGTCTATTTTCTATTTCCCCCCAAAAAACTTCATTTTTTTCTTAAATTGGTCTATATAGCTATTTCATCTTTCGAATAATCCAAAAACAATGCAGTCATAAACTACTTATTTAGTGATTTTTTTAAAGCCTTTTTTCTTAAAAAAAAAAAAAAAAACGCAAAGCACACCTGATGTTTTTCTTGTTACGTCGAAAAAATTCTTTAATCTCAAACACATTTGTGTCAGTTTAAAATATGTTCATTGTTAAAAATGCATTAACTAAAACAAACATTTGCAAAAGACTTTAATGGACACATTGAAACATTTTCCAACCTCATTATGGGCTACCGCTATACGAACTCTTTGGCTTCTGCATCCGGAAACATTTTTAAATGTTTGTCCCTCCTGTTTTAGAATTAATATTTTTATAACATGGTCATTTGTTGTATTATTATTATTATTATTATTATTATTATTATTTTTATTAGGCTGTTGTAATTATTAGACCTAGAAGACGGGAATCCTGTGAAAAATCTGTCGTGTAGGCTAGCTAATTATTTTGTTTCCATCCACGAACACTAAAATCTTCGTACACAGATTGCTAGAACATGTTGAAAGAACTATTTATATATACATTTGTTGAAAATTAAATGCCTTTACATTTTATAATTGAAGCTGCACATTTTTTAAGTGTTTTTTTTATTTTGTGCCATCTCGTGGCAGTGTCTTTTAACCAATTCCAAATAAAAGCACAGCACTTAATTCACCGAATGCACGAGGTAGCCTTTTGTAACCTTTGTTATAACCTAGTTGTGCAAAATGTTCACCAAGTCTTGACTTTGTTCGTATTGCGTAGCCTATCGGTACAGATCCGAGCCTGCGCTCATATTGAGTGAGAGAATTTGTCAAAATCCTTAGTGTCGTCGCCAACTTGTAAAAGTGTTTAAAATTAGTTTCGTTTGCCTTCCAGAATGTGTTAATTAAATTGTCTGCTTCAGATCCAGTATTAAGAATTGTAATTCAGATTATCGCATTAAATATAATTTGATTCAGTCTTCAAAGGTAAAATGTAATAACGGGGGAGGTTATGCCTCTTCCTAATTATGTTAGCCTACTGCAAGAGCTGAGCCAGTTATATTGGTAAGTTGTGAAGTCAAATGCATTTGCTTTGTAAATATTAGCCTACTGATGGACTTCACTCTGATGTGATTATCAATATGAATAACCGCCTCTCAAGTAAAATAACCTGGTCTAATTGTAGCTTTTTATTAGAGGGATTTGCAGATTATCCTGTCTTAACAGAGTCATAAAAAACATTTCAACGTAACTGCGCATTTATTTGAAACGAGAAAGTAGAAGACATCTTGAGTTGCTTCCCTGCATACAAGACTATTTTACAAATGCTAGATTTTCAACTCACCGTAAGAGGCGATGAGCCCTCCGTTGTGTCCGCTGTCCTGCTGGAGTTTGCTGCTGTCTGGGGGAGTTTTGCAGGAGGACCTCTGCATGAAGAGGTGGTATTTGTTAAAGGTGCCTTCCCCAGCAGTGGCATCCAATGACTGGCATTCCTGCTGGAACGGGCTCCCAGTTTTTTCCCCGTACGCCTGACCTTTGTTGGTCAGGAAAGTGGGGCTGTATTTGGTGTCACTCGCCTGGAATGTCCTGAAAGGGTTCGCCTGGTGATCCCTACCTTGCGGTGCAGATGGGCTATAATATGAATCCATGGATGTCATGTCGCAGTATGAAACGCACGTCTCGGCGTTCATTCCTAAAAAAAAAGTTTCTGGAAGAAAAAAGACGTCCAATCGATTTTTTTCTTCCTTTCTTTTCCTTTTTGGAGAGCAAGGCGAGCAGATACGCTCACACTCTCTCCCTCTTCCTCGTACAAACCAATACACACTCACACACGCGCACGCACTGACTTGTGCAGCAGCTGGCTTTGGTTATACAATGATTCAGATGTTTTCCAGAAACGGATAGCTAACCAAAAGCTAAAAAGCCCCCTTAAGGTTAGAGGAGTAACAAAAAATGCGTCTTCTGAAGATGCAGCCCAGATCTCCTCGGTATAGACCACTACGCACGTCAAGACCTCTCCTCGGTTATTATGTAGATGCAATGAATGGGTGAGGTCAGACCTTTGCTTAGAAGAAGAAAAAAATGTTTTGTTGGAAATATGTAGGGGGACTTAACACATGACATTAATGTCATTAGGATATGAAATGTATGACTGATTGAATGTGAAGGGCAGAACGGAGGGAGCAATTTAATGGTTGATTCGCAATGCTTTTTAACTTAGACTTTGCAACAAAGAAACAAGTTTGAGCTCTATATGGAATTATTTGTTTGTTGTGTTTAAGCCACTGATGTGTTTCACTCTTAGAATCTTATGGTTTTCTTTTCTATTATATATAGTTTCACATTTTGACGTCAATTTTTTATCTTGTTTTATCTGATCTTGCCTTTACCACCATCAAGATCGACTTCGTATGCTACGCATTTAAATATTTTAATGCAATTTGAAAGCAATACCATTAATACATTAGAACAAAATATTTTACATTTAGATTGCTGTAAAACGTTCTCTAGATAGAAAGATTGAGGCCACAGTAGCCTCATTAAATTAATACTCATTTATTTTCTTAAAGGTGTTCTTGCAAACAATTTCGTGTAGCCTATAGATTTGTTGGGATGGTCTGCCGAATCTTTTTATTTAACAATCAGCATGACATTATTTAGTTTCTAATAAAAAAAAAAATACGAATGATTTTAGCTTTAGCGTTTTTTAATTGTAATAACAACATTTGCTGAAGAAACATGTTTGGTCGAGGTGGCAGTAAAATCTGACACACGCAGCCTAGGCTATGATGACGAACAAGTTTGGCCTGCAAAAGTTTCAGTCATGAAAAACACATCCACTTTTTGTGATTTAATTATGCAAATTAAACATTTAATAAATTCGTGTGCGTACAAAATCTTTTTGAAATAGGGTCGTGTTATAAAAGTGCATGTCGTTTTTAAGTGTATAGCCTATTCTCTTCTATATTTTTTCCTTTTCTCTTTTATTCTGCTGCGACAGCCTACATTGTAACGATTATTTGCGGTCCTCAATCTTGTTTATTTGAAGTTTCCACTAAGCGATGCATTTACAACAACATCTGTGACCTTTGCAGGTTCTTAATTTTATCTAGATTTAGAGGTTAAGACCCAATATATCCATAGAAAAGAGCAGCCCCGATGCCTATTCATGGTCAGTATCTTTTTTCTTTTTCTCCTTTTTTTTTGTTTTTTTTGTTTTTGTTTTGAGATGCACAGTTTCTATTCATTTTGTAGCCTATGCGACCACCAAAATGTAGCCTATATATTTTTTAATTACATATAGGCCGTGTTCTTTGTCCAAATTCTTTTCAAAACAACACAGTCATAGGCTACAATTGCGAGCTATAATTTTAAGTTGGTTAAATAACGGTAAAATCTAATTTATTGTGTGATTTTTGCGCAGCACATACGTCATCATGCTTGCAAGTCAGTAGTGATGGTATGGTGAAGCACGATTGCATTAAATTAGCATATGAAAAGCTGAGGGGAAGCCTGTTCAAACCTGTCTAAATGACACGCATTTCCAGCAATGGCGATATGCAGGGCCCATAAGCAGAACTGATTTAGCAAAGAGTAATTCGATAAAAGTCCATATCTCACAGCAATTTGTGTCAAAATATGGTTAGTGTTTTTATTTGGAGTGTTTTGCGATGGCTTGATTATCAATTATTTTGACGCGTTGATTATTGGTCACACAAGTGTTTGTATTCAGGGGCATTGGAAAACGTTATAGTTAGGGGAAATAAAGAACGTCATAAAACGTGTCAGCCAAAGCTGCGTTCCTTGAAATCCAATAGAGCATTTATTTCTGGTGCTGCATTGAAATTCTAAACTGAACATTCAGTCCAGCGCGACCAGATATTTGACTTAATAAAGGAAATATGAGCTTAATTGGATTTCTGCAATGCACCACATTGGTTGGTTTCTTGCAGTTGCAACAGTCCGAGATGAGCATTTCTACTACCTGTCTGCCACTGATATATTGCGACATATTTTTTTAAAATTATTATTTCATGTTTTAATTTAATTGCTGATTTCCAGTTAAGCTTTAACGTGTGTAAATTAAATGCCAACGAAAAAAATGTTCCTCATAAATCAGTTTTGTTTATTAAACATTCCAGTGCTCTCAAAGCTTATCTTATAATATTTCCCCTTTGCAATTACGGATTTTTAAGGCAATGTTAACGACTCATTCACTTGTCAGATTGTTTGAATGCAAAATTAGCAGTGTATAGCTACAATCGAATGTGGAATATTTTATTTATTTATTTAGGCTATTATTATTTTTTTTGTGCACATTTTCAGTTCGCAATGAGCAGACTCTAGTTCATGTGCAAAAGTTCACTTTCAGAAAAGTGCATTGATTAAATTCGTTTCAAACCCAGGGCTAAATGTAGCCTAATTGAATTAACTCAGGTTTAAGGTCTCGATTTTCAGGCATGCCCTCGTGAATGATAAACATAGAACCGTTAGAACCGGCTCAATTTTCGTGTCGAACACGCTTGGATATTTTTTTTAAACATGTTTGGTCTATTATCTCTTGAGTTATTTATGGCTATCAAGTGTTTCTACGCACGTGTCTAGGATCATTTCATTAAAGTGGGCTTTTTTTGAAATAGCCTGATGTGTGATTTGTTGCTATTAAATATAATTTTTTTAATGCTTTGTAATACATTTTCATGTAGTTTCATTTAGGCTACTTTAAATGACTTAATTTTTATTTAAGTGAAAATAGTATTTAATTATCTTTGCTAATTTGCTAAAGTGTTTGAAATATTAATAATTAACTTTTTTACTGCTTTTTAATGATGGCCTGTGGCTATAGGCTAATCATACAATATCATACCAAACTAATGTCAATTTTAATTCATAAATTGAAAACATGAAAAAAAACCCGCCTCTTTATGTTACTCTATTATGCGAATTAATTTACCGAATCTAATATTCACCATTCTTATGAATCGGCAGTTGTGAACGTCCTGCGATCATAATAGCCTATTAACCCAACGCAATATTCGGCTGCCGCTTTAAGCGCACGCTCTGGACACACAAGAATACTGTACTGAAGCACCAAAGGCCTCCTTTTTTATTGTCCGCGCGCGCATCATGTTAACAATCATTTACATGATTTAGCCCTCTTTCCTTTTATTTTTATTTTTTTATCTCTCATGCCCTGCAGAAAATTAAAGCGCAGCTGCGCTGCCCAAACAAAACTGGCATCAGATGGAAAATAAAACAGTCGCTTCAAATGAGTGGCGCATCTCTCTGAACCATGCCTCCACAGATGGCTTTAGGGCAAGACGACTAGAAATAGAAAGTCTAAGGAGGGTGTGCAGGAATAATGCTGTGTTTGCGCCACATGATGGCTTTAAGGATGCTTGCAGGATGTGGTTGCCCCATGTGGACAGGTAGGGTAGGCTATAGCAGACATGATGTCAGATGTGTGTTTTTACATCGTGTTGTGTTCCAGTGACCTGACATTTATTGTGGTAGATTCAGTCGCTTGACAGAGCTGCTTCTCATATCCTGCATGTAGAGCATGCCACAGCAGAACAAATGTGAACCAGCCCCATGCAGTCTGTTTCCAGCACTCTCTCCTTCTGATTGGATATAAAGGCCTGTTAGTCCACTGAAAAGGTGCCTGTAAATGTATATATCACTGTCTGCATATGTCAGGGCAGGCAGATAATTTCGAGCACAGTCTGCCAAGTCATTCCAACTGACTTATTTACGAATTTGCAATCAAAAAGCATTCAGGGATGATAAATGATGGGCGTTCAAATTAATTGTCTTGGAGGCCTACGCAAGTGACTGTTAAAACAGCTGCTTTTTATCTTTTTATCTTTATATATTTGTAAAATATATATATATATATATATATCTTTATATATAGCTGTTAAATGTTATTCTATGTCTACTTTACATTTTAGCTTATATATGGCTTCTTTGTAATGGATTTGCATTTCATAATTCTTTATTTTTGCAGGAGAGCAGTTACTATTTATTTGCTTGTTAATGCGTTTTACAAGCTTTAATCCACACTTTTGAAAATCTGGCTGCTCATTTTTTGTGAAATTGTAACACAGTTAGACAATGCAAATGTATGTAAATAGCGTTTATATTTACCATATTTTTGTGTTTCATATAATTTTACATACATATCTGTCTCATAGACCGTATATATGTAGTGCTACACTCAGAGTGGTTTGTTTTGCTCTCATGCCCAGCTTCATTCTCTGAAATTGTTTTAAGTACCATGTTCTATAAATGCGAGTTATAGCAGAATAGAAATGTGGCAAATGGCTATATTGAAAGATAACACTGTCTGTTTAAAAAGATTCAGCTTTCTGGAAAGCTTATATAGGCTAAACCACATATCCACCTGCATGCCTTTAATAATTGACCATTTTAAATGTGTACATTATGCATAAGCCATTAAAAGCTTAAGTGAATAATTGGTGTTAATAATTGTTCTTTTTAAATTCATTTGATTGTTTCAAATGTGGTCTAATCCAATGTTTTATATGGATTACTTTAAATCAAATACATTTTGTGTAAAACCTTCAACCATTCTCTTTTCCCTTAATTGGTCTTTTTTCGTTTTTCTCAAATTTATTTGTCATCTCCTCAAAGTATTTGATACACTGCATCTGTTGTGTCAAGTTATTTTTTTGGAAACAATAGAAATTCTTTAGCATTAACTATGCGTAACAATAAAAGGACTGCTTGGTAGAAATGTTGTCAAATTTGCTGGTATATTAAAATACTACTTTGTTTTAGCCACACAAGTGACAAACCATACCACTGTGGTATCGCACAACCCCATGAA